TGGCAAAGATGGGGTGGGCGCCGTGCGAGGCCAGGCCCTCGCGGGAGCTGGGGAGCCTGCGGCAGGGGCAGAGTCCTGTAATTCTGGGGGCTGGGGCCGCTCTCGGTCGGGCCCGCCTTGTCACTGGGATGGCACCGGAGTCCCCCACGCCCGCGATCATTCCGTTGCGGAGAGGCCTTGCGTTCAGTCGAGCCGCTAGGGCTGGGGGCGGGGGCCCCTAAAGTTTCTCCAGACTCTTGGGGTTGGTGAGGATCTCGCGGGCCAGGCGCCACGTCTGCTTGGCGGCGTTCTCCAGCGCCGAGTGGGGCTTGCCCTGGAAGAGGTCGAGGTTGGGGAGGAAGTAGTGGGGACAGCGGCGGCACTGCAGGCAGGAGATGAGCTGCAGAAGGATGCCGTTGAGCCGGTCCCCCAGGCAGGACTCGTCCCAGTCCGCCTCGCGCGGGTGCTTCTCGCACTCGTAGGAGACGAGGGTCTTCATGTGGTAGTTGTTGAGCGGCTGGCCCGGCAGCTCCAGGTGGCGGTCCCGCAGCGTCTTGAGGATGGACAGACACTTCTTGCGGCAGCCGCCCATCTGCAGCCTGTTCTCGGCCTCGGCGAACTGCAGCACCCAGGCGTCGCTCTCCGCCGAGCTCTGCTTGCCGGCCAGCGAGTGGCACTCCTTGGACAGGAGGTTGAAGCCCTCGGCCTTGACCTCCGCCACTCGGTTGGGGCCAGGCCAGGGGATGTGCGGCAGCGGCCAGTGGGCCGCGCTGCGCGGCCAGATGCCGGTGCACTTGAAGGCGGGCGTGATCTGCACCACATATCGGTCGCGGATGCGCAGTTTCACTTCGCTGGTGTCCGCCACCATCTTCACCACGTCCCGGTAGCTGCACTTGTCCACGGCCTGGGCCACCAGCGTCTGGAAGCGCGAGCGGATCTTGCGCGCCGAGAGGTAGCCCGAGGCGGTGATGAACTCCACCCAGAGCGACATGCTGCGCTTGCGCCCGTCGCTGAGCTTGAGCACGGCACAGCCGGGCAGCGAGCCGTCGTCCACAAAGTTGAAGACACCCATCTGGTTGAGGTAGAGCACCACCTCGAACTCCGTGGGGGACACGACCTCCAGGCCCTCATAGCGGTTGTCCATCTCGTTGAGCGAGCTGATGAAGCGGGGCTCCTGCACCTCCACCTCCTTGAGCACATCCGAGACCACCTTGCAGACCTCACGGATGGTCTTGGCGATGGCCGCCTTGCGCGCCTGGCACTTCTCGTTGTAGTACTTGTTGAGGTGGTAGACCAGCTTGGCCTGCGCCGCGATCATGTTGGGGCAGAGATCCGGGTTGTAGACCGGAGTCTCGCAGTAGGCCGTGGGATCCAACGCGGCTGCCAGCGCGGGAGCCAACTTCGGAGGAGGACGGGGCCGCCGCGAGCGCGCCGCTCGGCCCGGGTCTCTGGACTGCGCGACCCCCGCCTGCGAGCTCGGCGCCCGGCCGCAGCCCGCGGCCGCTGCCTCTCCGCCTGCCGGGCTCTCGGGCCGGTCTCGGGGCGGCGGCGAGAGCGGACGACAACGACGGGGGGATTCCGCACGCGGGTCACCCAGCCCACGCCGCGCGCCGCCCGGGCGGAGCGTCCCCTCGCGCGTCCCCGCTCAGCGCCTTCGCGGCAGCATGGTGTGCGCCGGCCTGGCCGGCGGGTCGGGGCAGTGTGCGCGTGGAGGTGTCAGAGACGCCGCGGTGGCTTTGCCGGCGAGCCCAGATGCGCTCGTGTGCAAATTATAAAGGCAGGGCCAGGCAGGCGGGCGGCCAATCGCCACCGCGCTCGTCAGGGCCTCCGCCTGCAGCTCGAGCCCATTAATCCCCCCCGCACCCTGGCAGCCCCAACCCCAGAGGTAAGGGGCTGTGGTGGTCCGGAGACACCCGCCCGGCCGCCTAGCCGAGCTGGAGACCCAAGGACCACCCCGCCGGCCTCAGCAACCCTCAAGCCAAGGGCCCCAGAGGAAAGCCCGGTCGGAGCCCCAAAATCAACCCCTGCGCCTCCGGCTTTGTTGTTGTTACCCGCTGAAATGCAAATACAGGTGTAGCCTCTTCCCTCGACCAATCAGCTCAGCAGCTCCTGAAACCGGGTCACCAACTCGTCGCCCAGAGCGAGTGCACTCGCCGCGGGCTGGGCCTCATACACCGGTGCACAGTGTCCTTCTCCCACCGCCCTGGCACTCGGCTCTAGGTGCGCGCCTCATGCCGATGGTTCTAGGTGTGCGCATGGTTTTGTGTTCTTAAGTTAGGCAGGTAATGATCTCTCGTCCTCTCCCTCTTTCCCTCCCTCCACCTCTCTCCCTCTCCACCTTCTCTCCTCCCTGCGCACTCCCTCTCACCACCCCCACTCCCTCTGTCCCTGGCCCTCTGTGTCTCCCAGAGGAGTATTGGGCTTCTGCTTTGCAGTTCTGGAAAGGGCTAGGGCTTGCTTCCTTGGGTGTGTGAGGCCCCTGGGCCCCAGTGTGAGGGCCTTCTGAAACACGCGTGGCACCCCCACCCCTCGGTTAGGGCCTGGGCAGCGTTTCAAGGACTCTGAGCAGCAGTCCCTAGTGCCCTTGTCCAGAGATCTTGCCTCCCAGTGATGGGGGGATTTTCCTGTGATTTCTGACCAGACTGCTGGGACCTTTGGAGGATGTTAGCGTGCAGGATTCCAGCTTCTCCTTCCGATCGCGAGCTGTTCTCCGAGCCATAGCCCCGTTCTGTGCCTGTGACCTACTACCGGTTTTCAAAGAAAGCCCAGTGCCACCAGCCTTGGCAGCCCCGGGGGCTCACACCTCAGTCAGAGGAAAGTGGGGATGAGAGCCACCTTCCTAGCTTGTGGAACCTTACAAAGCTGCACTGAAAATGGCTTGGGGGTCCACATCCTTTTGCAATTTTTGCATCTTTTTTTTCTTCATTCCCACCCCAACCCCCGTGTCTTCCTAGTCATCAGTGGGGCTGGCTAACGGGGGTTGGGGGGGGGGGGGGGGCGGAGTATCCAGTAGCTGTCAGCCCTGCAGAGGGGCCTAGCTCCCCACATCCTGTAATGCCCAAGGCATCCCCCCCCCCACTTGACCAACAACCTTCCCTCAATGGGCGCCAGGTGAGCACCCTTGTTTGTTTGCAAAGCTGCTTTGAAGGAGGAATTTTTGAGCGATCCCCCCTCCTATATGCCCCCCCTTCGCTTGGGTGTTTGTTTATCTTGCGCAGGATCCGCATTTCAAAGCCACCTTTTAAAATGTATTTTTGTTTTGTTTTTGAGTGGTAGTTTCAGGTTTCACCTAAAATGGTGAGCTCCGAGCTCCCTGTGAGGCATGGACATCCTTCCCTGCCAAACCCCAGCGCCTTCCAGGCCCTTCGGAGCAGGGCCAGGGTACCCAGCATTCCCATACACCCTCGCCCAAGTCCATGTTGAATGCAGCTGAAAGGGGGCATAAAGGAGGCCCACCCCAGCACTAGGACTGGCAGCCACCGGCCAGTGGGCAGGCTGTGGCTCGGAGAGAGCCTGCATCTGCGGGACCAGCCACCTCTTGCACTCCCCCAGCGCAGGGCCCCGCGCGCTGCCTGCTCCCTGCTCCTCCGTAGAGAGCTGGCCTTTGGCTCCTTCTGCACACCGCACCGGGCTACCCCTGACCTGGCCTGTCTCTGGCGCCCCTCGCTGTGCCCTCGTCTGCCTGGCCCAACCTGCCCTCCTGGCCACCACACACGCCCCAGCCTGTTGAGGACCCCTTGGGGACCTTGCCAGGGACCAGGCAGGGCCCGCAAGGGCAGCAGGCGGCCTGGCAGCCTCGCCAGAGCCGGCGCGCAGGTGGCACGGAGCCGGGCTGGCTGTGCGTCTTAATTGGGTTAAAAGCGAAGCTAAACACCCAAGCACTTGGTGCAAACTAATTGGTACCACCGGGGCCTTTTCGCTAAGATTTGCACTGGGCGGATGCAAAGGAGAGCGTAGGAGGAGGGTGGTGGACCCATCCGCCCAGAGGGCGCCCTGAGCCGAGGCAATGGGTTTGCAGGACCCCAAGACTGCTGCCCTGGCACTGATTGACATACACCCGGCTGCCGGGCCACTGCTACCCCGGAACCAGCGCCCGGGAGAAGGCTGCTGGGCTAGGGTGCTGGCTAGAGCCGGAGCGCGCCTGCGGCGTTTTCTCTCATGGGAGCCCTGGCCCAGACTCGCTGCTCGCTGGCCGGCTGAAAATGACCCTTCTGGGCTGGCTTTCCCCTGCCCTCCATATGTATGCGTTCTGTTGCGCCCCACGGGAAGTCGCTGCGTTTGCGGCGAGCAGGCTAGCTCCGTACCCTTTATCTTCCCCGTTTTTGGGGGGTGTTTGTGGAATTGGCGCTGACCACCAGAGCTGGCCTTTTCAGGGTCATGTAGTGCGTGCAGCTTCCTGTCCGTTCATGCACGCAGATCTGAAGTCAGTGAAAGAGCCGACAGATGATGTTTGCGGCCATATAGCTGTGCGCATGCATGTTTTCAACGACCAGTGTCCCATCTCTGGCACATAAACGGCTGATTGTTTTCAGTGCTATCCTCTGCAGACCTCTTTGGCATGGGCTAAAAATAGAATGGTATTTGAAGGAAAGGGAACCTAATTGGGGAATGGGCAAACCCAGAATCACAGGATTTAATGATGATTTGAGAGGCTCCTGACTGAATGGGGTCTGGGATGTGAAGGGCCATTGCTCCCGTCACTTACTCTATTACTCAATCTCCAGTTTAAGCACAGCGGGGGTGGGGGGCAACAAAGACCCAAGTGCCCTGGCAGCATGTTTTCATACTAGGAATGGAAAGTATGATTCTTACAACTTTAATGCATTCTAAAAACAATGGCCACCCCAGCACCATTTCCTGGGCAAGCTACCCCACCCCTTGCAGGTCAGCTTATCGTATCTTTTAAGTGGCAGTGTGAGGGGTCCCAGGTTAAACACACACACACACACACACACACACACAGATCACATACAGCCTTGTTGAGAAATGTATGAATGAAGGGTTTCTGTGTGTGTTTGAAAAAGCTAATTTAAATGTGAATCGAATGTTCATGAGTTTCCCTGACCAGGGACGGTTCTGGGCAAAAGACAGCCTTGTGTCCTGGAGAAGCAGCCGCCTCCGCTGCCCCCACCCTCCACCCCCAGCGGGAAGGACAGAAGGAGGGAGGGACAGGGGAGGGATGGGGGTTTGTGCCTCATTTCATTTTCTGCAGGCCGGGAGTCTCCTTGGAAGGCTTCGGGAATGCAAGGCTTTCTTTTATTTTATTTTATTTTTCATCTGCTGATGGCACTGGGGGATGGAGGGAATATGGAGCTGTGTTTATTAAATTATTTATCCCTGCTGCTGGAGTGGCTTTGAAGGCTCACTGTAGCCATCTGATACCCCACCCCCACCCCTCTGGTTTTTGGGTGTTTTTTTTATGTTTTAATGCACCCATGCCACTTCATCTGGTTCATTCTGCCAGACACAATCTCGCTCTCTTTTTTACACGGGAGAAATTAAAGACAGATATTCGTGCTGGCTTTTCTTTGGATGTCAACTTGAATCAGCCGCTGTGGAGGGAAGGTTTCTGCTAATCTAGGCTGATGGCCCCACCTCTGCTCCCTGCTGTGGAGCCTCACGTGTTGGTGGGGTGGGGTGTCAGCAGCCCAGATCTTATCTTATCCTGTCTGACCTTGGGGCTCAGCTGGACACCAGGGCAGGGTCCACAGAGGGTGCTGCACAGGTCGGTCGGACTGACTGCTACCCACAAGTACAGCAGTTGAGACTGAGCGGCTGCTCCTGGGGAGAGAGCCTGGGCTGCCTGCCCATGGACAGGTGTGTGGCGTCAGAAACCAAACCCACAGGGCAACGCTGGCCTGTCCCAGAGGCCCACTACGAGTTGGAGTCAGGCTGTCAGTTTGTTTTGGGATCTGGGTATCTTTCTTCAAGAAGAGCTGCATCCACATGCAGCTGAAAGCAGACTTCCACAGCTGAAAGCTGCATCCTCAAGCAGACTTCACTGAAAATAGATTTCTGAAATTCTGGGCTTGAACTGCCAAGGCCTTTGCTTCGGCTTTCCTCAGGACCTTACTGTATGACCCTGCTGGCATTCGGCCGGGGAGGCCAGCAAGCCTGTGACTTGATTTGGTTGGGTGGCTTGGTTCCTAGGCTGAGAAGAAAGTGGCTTGGGATGGGAGGTGGAAGTGCAGCTCCAGGAGCCCCAGTCCTCTGCCTCCAACTGCAGGTCAAAGCACTTCTGCAGTCTGCTCAGAATCTGCCTCCTGGTAGGAGAAAGGTAGAGCAGAGAGAAAGCCTGGTGGGTTAGCCTGGTGAGTGACCCTGGGCTGTGTGGGAGGCCGGAGCTGCTGCAGGAAAAGGGAAAACTTTTCCTCTTAGCATCCCCACCCAAAGGCTGGCTCACTGCTCAGAACAAGCCAGTTGTGACCTCTACCCTCTGCAGACACTAAAGGCCACTGCTATTGTCCATCCACTTTGGGGGAGGGCATTGGTGCGCCCCCCCCCCACACGCCCCCAGTGCCTTGTGGACCCCTCAGAAAGTCACCATTACCTTTAGGATTGATAAAATCACGATTCAGCTTCTGTGTTAAATCTGGAAATGGTGTGCATGTCCTGTCGGCCTTGGTGGGCCCTTTTTGGGTAGATAGGGACCCAGGGACAGGAGGTTCTGGGTCCTAGCCTGGACCTGCCTTGGGTGTGGGCACTCAGGCCAGGAGCAGGGCCGTGAAGGGCAAGGTGTGCAGTAGGCTGGACATCCAGCATGGTTCTCATGAAGCCGCCTGCCGGGGGAGACAAAGCTGCTGGCGGAGCTCACCCTAACCTTCAGTCCACAGCACGGTCAGTCGGTAATCACTGACCAGTAGCCTCATGTCCCAAACCACCTTCCGGCTTCCAATCTATAGTCTGGGGCTGTTTCTAATGAACCACGCGAGGTCTCTAAACTAGGGTTTAATTTATGTTCTCCATCGATCAGGACCCAGAGTAGTAGTTTGAGAGGATAATTGCACGGAGAAGCCATGATCACCTACACTCCTCACTGAAGAGCACAGAACACTGAGGGGCTCGGTTCTTGACCCCGGAGAATGGGCTGCTTACGGGGTTCTCTGACTTCATTCACCCCCACGCTTATTTCCCACGCACTGACGTGGGGGAGGCATAAGGACGGGTCAGGAACACCAAGTCTTCCAGATGTAAGGGCCCAGAGGTCAGTGCTGTTCTCTGGATCGCAGGTCCAAGTCCGAGCCCGCCTTTTGAGGCATAAGAACTGGGAGTAAACATCCGAAGGCCGTGGAGTCAGGAGTACAGCTCCGCTTTATTTGGAGGAATCCGTGTTGGTTAAGCCCAGTTTATCGCTGTGTGGTTTACCCCTGGCCCCATCTTAGTCGACAATGGTTCCACGTGAGGGTGTCCTCATGACTGCGCATTCTGGTGAACGTGGACAGCCATGGCCACCTTGGCCACCTGCACGGGAGCAGGTAGTGCCACAAAATGTCCCTTTCTACCCCGTTTTCTTCTTTCCATTTGTAAATTTCACTTGTGTCTGTGTGCTGGACTCACAGCGGGAGAGCCCCAGATGGTGGGTAATCCTGTGTCGTGCCCCTGCCCGGACAACGTCCTGCTTCTAAGTGAGGACCAGTTTTGTTGTTGCTTTATTAAATACTTTTACTGGGGGCTCTTACATCTCCTATAACAATCCGTATATTCATCCATCGTGTCGAGCACACATGTACCTATGTTGCCATCACCATTTTCTAAACAGTTTCTTTCTACTTGAGCCCTTGGAATCAGCTCCTCATTTGTGCCCCTCCCTCCCTCCTTCCCTCCTTCCCTCGTGCACCCTTGACAAGTAATAGATTATGTTCATATATCGTCCTCTGTCACTCTTCACCCACCTTTCTGTTCGTCCCTCTGGGAGCGGGTTCTGTGTTGATCCTTGTGATCAGTTTAGGACCAATTTTAACCCCAAACCCCTGCATTTGGGTGCACCAAAGCACCCTTGCAAAGTCAGACACATCCCGCACGTGATTGTATGGAAGAGTCATTTAGTGTTCACGTCTCTGACCCCAGTCAGTGCTTGGTTAAAAGCCCAAATCCATGTGTGTCCGGTTTTCCCCAGAGGAAATGCTGATTTTGAGTGCTGGCGTGAACATGTCTACATTGTTTACAAATGCAGCTCACGGCGAATGCTTCGAGATACATCTAAGAAGCAGCTTCTTATCCACGTGAGCTCCCTGTTTGATCACATTACTGGCTTCATGTCACAAGAGAAAGAAATATTCTCTCAATATCTGAATTACCTTTTACTTTGTGTTTTCAGAAAATTAATCCTTCCTTAGAGATGGGGGCTGAGGCCCAGAAGTCTGTGTGCGACTGTGTGTTTCTCAGCAGGGAAGGCCTGTTCTGTGGGAAGTAGGCTCAGGGTCCCTAGTTTGTGTAGCAGGCACTGCCATTCACCTCCACACCGTCCCAGTGACTCCAAACAAAGAAAGAGGGAGTTGTCCGCGTGCTCCGTTTCCTCCGAAGGACAAGGAGGCTTCTCCAAGTATTTGCATTTTTACAACTTGGGCCTGCTCCCTCTGCCCGGAGACACACAAATTACTTTGCTGCGCTCTGTTCTCTGTGTTTATTTGGCAATTACAACAGACATTTTAATGTTATGCATGCTTACAGGCCTATTATGGAAGAAGTTATTGCTTTCTTAATAATCTTCAGCCATTTTTAGAAAGAATACTCTTTATAGTTTGTGAGATCACCCATGTGGGCAGGCGGGGTGTGTGTGTGTGTGTGTGTGTGTGTGTGTGTGTGTGTGCGCGCGCGCGCCAAAGTATCAGACCGCAAAAGGCGAAGTCCTACATGTAAACTTGCTAAAGGAAACTGCGTCTAGGTCCCAGGTTCCTGTGGCACCATGGCCCCCGGGAAGTCCTGCCATATCGGCAAGCCTGGGTCCCAGGGACCTGTCAGTACAGCCTTCCGAGAGACGGCCGAGTGGTAAGTGGAACTGACCCCTCTGGTCCTGTGGCACACAGACCAATAGCTATGGGGGTGGTGGGGGCGCTGCAGAAAGGGGTTGCCAGGCCAAGGCAGACAAGTGATGGCAAGATGGACCAGTGAGGTCATCTTCGGAGACCGCAAGGAGTCTGCGTGGGCTATGTCCACGTGCACAAGACACTCAAGTCTATCCGGGGCTCTAGAAAGACCCCCCACTCTTTTAAGTGTCTCTCCCTCTCTCACAGACCAGCCAGCCAGCGCTGGGCCCCGCATCTGTGCTGGGAAGCAGCAGCGAGGTACGAGGCCCTGGGCGGGGTGTGGGGTCAGCCTGCCTCAAGGCCGGCTGCTGTTTGGGTCTCTCTTCTAACATGAGCCCTGGTGCACCCATTTGTCTCGCTCTCCACCGTACGTACCCAGCCGCTTCCCCTGCGTGCATCTGTCAGGGCACAATGTAGCCAATGGCGTCTGCAGGCCTGGTGGTGATCAGTATTGCAGGCAAAAGCCATATGTGTTTAAATAATAAAAATAAAAAAGTCGCGCGCGCGCACACACACCCTCTATTTATTTCAGTTGCTGTTTTAACGGGCTGGGTAACTTTTGTGCCTCGAGACAGAAGAAAAAGGAAAAATACAGCAATAATTAATTGCCTGGGTCCTGGAGGCGTTTTCCTTTCCTCCCAATATGGAACGCTTGTCAGCTCTCCTGATAAATGACTGCATGCATTTGCATAGATTTTACATTAACACAAAAATTAGTTTTATTTGTGGAAAACTAGTTTACATAATAATATGAAAGCGAGTGTTATTGATTAGGGTTCGGAGCTGGATAGCTTTGCGGGAGTTGTTGTGGAGGTCTCCTGACGGGCAGCCCGGGCAGGGCACAGGGTAAACCTTGCCTTTCCCTCCTCCTGCGGGGCGTCCTGACAAGGGTGACCTGAAGCCCAAGACGCAAAGCACCTTAGGATGCACGGACCAGCCTTTCAAAATCCTTCTCTCGTTAGCGCAGCTACTGCCGCCCCCCACCTGGGGGCATGGGCAGGGCTTGGAGTTTTAATAAAAACAAAAATCGTTCTTGAAGGCTTCAGATTGGGAGCACATTCCTGGGGCAGCCTGCGTAAGACGTGCTCCCAGCCTTGAGCCCAGCCCTCCATCTGCGCTGGGCTGTAGTGTGCACCCACCCCCCTCTCACCCCTGTTCTGCCTCTGCTCCTGCTGGGGTCCCCTCTCACCCCTGTTCTGCCTCTGCTCCTACTGGGGTCCCCTCTCCCCTGGAGCCTGCTGCCGGCTGTGTCCCCACCGCAGCTTATCCATGCTCTAACCTGCCATCTCTCGTTGTGGACAAGGCCTGCAGGGTGGCAGTGTCCTAGAGACAATTCTGGTCCCTCGCAGCTGGCCCTGAGACCCTCGCAGGGCTTCTCCTTGCTGGCAGAGCCCGGGCCCCGAGTGGCCCAGCCACTTGGTGTCTCAGGGACACCTTGGGTACCAGCTGTCACAGCTCAGCTAATGATGACAAATGCCCCGCGCTGTGCAGATTGCCGTGCAGGCAGGCTGCTCCAAGAGACAACCCGATTACGGAGCCCTCACACAGGAGCTTCACCTCTCCCACCAGAGGCCCCGAGAGAGCCAGGACTCGGTCCCCAGGCCAGCAAAGCCGTGCGTTCAGCCCCCAGCCCCACCCGAGGAAGATGCAGGCGTTCCCAATGAGAAGCTCTGGGTCCTTGAGATTTTACAGCCACTCACGGGCATGTGTGCTTTGAGCCCTGTCTGCCAGACTGGCTCCTGTGCGGGAGACTCTGGGACATTATCCGGACTGTTCCAGACAACTATGAGAGGACACGCTCCCTGTGTGGGAAAAGGAAATAAAACATCTCATGGGATTTTTCCCAAGTAGGTGGGTGAGGTCCCGGGAAGAGCTGCCCCAGGTGGGGGCCTGTGCTGCCTGCCTGAGAGATGTGTCCGGCTGTGCTTAGGGCTCACTGGTTCCTACCCATGGCCGTGTTCTCTTTAAACTGTGTGCCCCTGGGGGAGAGTTAGCTGCCGTTGACTTTTTTCTGGGAGTGATTTTACACGTGAGCTTTTGCTGTAAACGGTTCATTTGTCCTATAAAACCGAAACCCCCCCACAGCCCTCACGTCCCCACCCCACCCCCCGACTCCGAGCTGCCCCGGAGGAGGGAGTACAACTGCCCTGCAAGGTTTCTGTAAATCCTCTGGGGCAGGTGATCTCCTCTTTCTCCCTTGGCAGCTGAGTGGTTAACCACTGTGCCACCAAGGGTTCCTTGCGGCCTGATAAACCAGTCCAAAGCTCGCCCACAGCTAGCACCCTGTGTAGGCCTGCTGTGACTGTAAATGTGTGCCAGAGTAGACAGCCTCATCCCTCTCCCTAGGAGTGGATGGTGGATTTGAACCGCTGACTTTTGGGCTTGCCATGCTAGGGCTCCTTGATTTGTTCCATAGAAGTGTGAGTGTCCATGCTTGCAGAGATGATTTGAAATATTGATGTGCCTCACTGACTGCCGTGAGGTGCAGAGACCAGTTCCCCGTTCAACGAAGGCAGCATCCTCTCCCGCCTGCAGAAGACGTCCAGTAAACTCACTCTGCCAGGCGGCAGAGATGGTGCTGAAGGACTGGGGTTTAACCTCACTTCATCTCAAGGACAGTAGTAGTTCACAGCACGTGTGAGTGTGTGTGTGCGCGCGCGCGCGCGCGCCCATGATTAGGCCTTGGGCTGCTAAATGAAAGGTGAGCAGTTCTAACCACCCAGCCGGTCTGTGGAAGAGAGAAGAGGCTGTCTGCTACCGAGGAGCTGACAGCCATGGGACCCTTGGGGGCAGGGTCCCGATGTGTGGACCCAGCTGTCAGCACTGGGCCTTATCCAGGTGCTGCCGCACGGGCCTCAGGAGAGGCAATAATGGCTCGATGAGCTTGCAGTGTGTTTCCTGCACTCCCGCGGAGTCAGAATTGAGACAGTACTCACCTTCTGAATTCTAACTTTCTGAGAATCATGCTTTCATTTGTCCGACAGGGAGAGCCTTAAGTAGGGAAGATCTGTACTCTTTGATGAGGATTCTCTGGAACACATTTGGGAAAAACCACCGCATTGTAAAACCTGGTATGATCGCCGTAATAGGATATAAAACCAAAACACCAAGCCCACTCCATCAAGTTGACTCCAACTCACAGAGAGCCTGCGGGCTGGCATGGATGGAGCTCCTTGTGGGGTTCCGAGGCCGTAAATCCTTACGGAAGCACAGGGCCGGTTTCCATGCCAGGGCTGCAGGGTTGCGGGCCACTGTCAGACACCACGATGGAGAGAAAACACCACTCCCTCCTTGATCCTGCAGGGCTACGCTGTTGCGCTGAGTGGGACCAGCCAACCCACAGGGTGTGCCCAGCTGCTTTCTGCTCTGGCCGACTGGCCCTGCTCCAGGAGTGGCTGGCAGGTTCTAGCAGTGCCTGTCTCACGGTGGGTGCCTCTTATCAAGGTTTCCTTCCACAGGCAGCGCCCAGCAGTGGCCTCGCTGGATAAGCAAAAGCATTGTATTCACAGGGCTGCCCAGCATGGTGGAGCCAGCCTTGTGGCACCTTTAGCCGCAGGGAGAACCCCCTCTTCTGTCTAAGTGCAGTCATCACCAAGCAGGCCAAAGGCCTCTGTCCCTCGGGGAGCCTCTCTTTGTATGAACGCAAAACCAAACCTGCTGCCGTGCAGGGGACGCTGAGTCCCCAGGGTGCGTCCTTCTGGGGGGAGGTGGGACAACCACTTCTCTCTGCCCAAGAGCTGCTGGTGGCTTTGAACTGCTCAGCTTTTGGTTAGTAGCCAAGCCTTAGCCACTGTGCCCCAGGGATCCCCGTGGCCCATGTGGGAAAGGAGGCTTGGTGCGCAGTGGTTAGCTGCGTGGCTGCTCACCAGCAGAGAAGCGGTCTGCCCCGTGGTGAGGATGGCTGTGCGGCCACCTCCCGGGCCAGGCCACCTGTGCTCTGTGGGGGCTGGAGGGTGGGCAGCCTCATGGGGCTGGGAGCACTGGCCTGCGGGAGGGTAGACTGCGTTCATTGTGGCTGTGCTGAAGACCTGCAGATTCTGTAGTCCTTAGGAAAACAGAGAACTCATAAGGCCCATTCTGGGTAAAGTATGCAATTTATTTATTTGGCTGTATTTATTGATATTTATTATTCAACAGCCCAATCCCGTCCCCCAAAATATCCCGAAGCCCATCACCTGACTCACAGTGACTTTGTAGGGTGCAGTCTGCAGGCCGCCTGCCACGTGACTGAACCACGAGCAGCCCAGTGACTGTCCTTAGGCCGCACCGTGCTGCGAAGGCTCCTGGTGGCCCCGCTCCTGAAGGTGTGGTTGCTGCCCAAGGCCCATGGCTGACCTGCAGGCTCCCTTCAGGGGACAGTTGGGGGCACCCCCCGGGGCAGTTCCCCTCTATTCTGCAGGGAACTTACATGGCCGCTCCCCGGCAGTGGGTCCGAGTGTACTCTTTTGGTGTAGTGGGGGAGCTATACAACATTACAATTGTCACGCAAAAGCACCTGTTAAATTGTTAACCTTTATGACAACAATGATCCGTCCTAAAGAATGTTTAACTCAGCAGAGGCAAGTGTTTTAAAAAGCATTACCTTAAGTGGAAATGCGATAGGAAAAGGTATTTTAAAGCTAGAAGTCGCCCCACCCCTCGGGGCCAGTTCTGCTGTTTCCTTTGAACGAGCAGCCTAGAACTGGGCCCCTGGCCTCCGCTGTGAACGTCCGTCCACTAGAGAGGGATGAAGCCCGTGTCAGGGTGGGAGGGGGCCCAAGCCAGCCCCACTCAGGAGTGAGCTCACCTCCCTGGCAGTGCCCACGGGTCTGCTTCAACAGCAGAGACGCCCGGCTGTGGGCTCTGACGTGACTTCGGGCCTCCAGTCCTGGGTGTGTGGGCTCTGTGCGGATGGTGAGGATACTGCGTTCTCAGTCTCCCCTGTGACTCGGAGCGGGCATGGGCGTGGCTCTCTGGCCAGCAGCGGCCAGGATGGTCGTGGAGGACTTGAGGGCTTCACAAAAGGCCTGGTTGGGAGCCCGGTGCCGCCCCATCTGTCTCCTGGCAGCGTGGGCAGTTCGAGGTGCTGTCACATGCATCTAAATGCAAAAGCGGTGGTTTGATGAACTCCCCCGAGTGCTCCGGGAGTGTATAAACGGCCCCTACATTGTGCCACGCTCCCAGCTGACCCGGCCAGCTCGGGGGATGAGCCAACTAATGAAGGTGGGACCGAGGCTGCTCACACCGCCT